ATTTGTATATGTACATGTCTTTATCTAGAGCTCTATAAATACCCTTTGCCTCCCAGCTCTTTCCTCTATTTCCATTGATTCTCCTCCTGTCCCACTAGCATGAAGAAAATTATAGAACATTACTACATGAAACCAGAAGAGATATACACAAATGGAGTAACATCCCATGTTTGTGGACTGGAAGACTCAATATTGTGAAAATGTCAATATTACCTAGGCACTATACAGATTCAATGCAATCAGAATAGAAGTCCCAGCATCATTCTTCAAAGAAATAGGAAAAATGATTGCCAACTATGTGTGGGGAGGGCAGAGACCCAGGAGAGGCAAAGAACTCCTGAAAAAGAAGAACGAAGTGGGTGGTCTTGCTCTACCTGACCTCAACACCTACTAGACAGCCACAGCTGTCAAAACAGCCCGGGAGTGGTACCATTATAGACACGTGGACCAATGGATCAGGACAGAAATTCAAGAAATAAAAACTTCCTCATGCAGACCATTGCTTTTTGACAAAGGCCCCCCAAAACATGAAATGGAATGGAGATGCCCTCTTCAGTAAACCGTCTTGGAAAAGCTGGATATCCACATGCAGAAGGATGAAATAAGACCCATATTTCACTCCATGCAGAAAAATAAACTCAAGGTGGATCAAGGACCTCAATGTAAAACCCAAAGCTGTCAGGATCATCAATGAGACCTTTGGGAGAAAGAAAGGAGCCCTGGTAAGGGGAATACACAGACTCTCCGAATTAACAAAGGAAACACACTCCGTGGAAGATAAAAAAGATGAATGGGACCTATTAAAAATAAAACACCAGTGTTCATCAAAAGACTTTATTAAAAGAGTGAACAGAGAGCCCACAGACTGGGAAGGCACCAAAGGACAAATACTGTATGAATCCACATGGTAGGAAAAACAGCAGACTAGGCAGAATCTTGTAGGGCAACCAGTGTTCTGGCTGGGAACCAGACAGTCTGGTAAAGAGCCGGACCAGTGCCAATGAAGCATATCTGCTCCAGATCAGGACAGTGTAGGTCACTTGGCTGGAGGGCACCTCACGACAGCTAGGATCAAATGGATAGGGGAGAGGAGTAGGGATGCTGTCTGTTGAGTGGTAGCCATGTGGATCTGGGGTGAGGTCACCTGGAGAGGGAGTTGGCCCTGTCAGGGGGATGGGACTTATTGATGGGAAGGGCAGAGCAGAAGTTGGAAGAGGGAATGCAGCGGTGGTGGGTGGGTGATAGGGAGGGCAAGGGGAATTCTGGGGTAAATAAAGAAGATGGTAAGGGGCAGGGAGCAATAGAACTGATCATGATTGCATAACTCATTTTTAAGATGGTTTAATCATGGTGGTGATGGTGAATCCTATAGGATCGATGCGCTGGTGATCCTACAATTCCTCTTGAGATGATCGATAGTTGAACTATTCAATTGTGTGGTATATGAATTTTGTGCCAATAAAACTGTTGGAGAAAAACATATCTATCTTGAAGGACACTGCTGCCTGTGGTAGAATGACATTCACCTGAATACCAGGAATTAGAGGAAATACAACTATTATTCTAGTGTATGCACCAACCAAAAGATAGCAATGAAGAAACGGCAGAATTTTATAGATGTCTTCACTCTGAAATTGATAAAACATATAATCAAGAAGAACTGATCATTTTTAGTGATTGGAATACCAAATTTGGAATCAAAGAGGAAGGAACAGTAGTTAGAAAATATGTCTTTCATGATAGAAAAGAATCTGGAGATGACATGATAACATTTTGCAAGACTAACAACTTCCTCATCACTAATATGTTTTTCAACAACAGAAATGGCAACTATCCACACGGACTTCACCAAATGGAATAACAGAAATCAATTGACTACACCTGCGGGAAGAGACACTGGAAAAGCTCAAAATCAGCAGCTAAAACGAGGCCAGAAGCAGACTGTGGGGCACATCACCAATTACCCCTATCTAAGTTCGAGTTGCAGCTGAAGAGAATTAAAGCAAATCCAAGCGAGTCAAAATAGGAACTTGAGTATATCCCACCTGAACTATGAAAACTGATTTGCTGGACTGAGCACTACAGATAGAAATGTGCAAAGTCCTGACTTAGAAAACCAAAAGGGAGAACACGCTCATCATGTCTTAAGCTGAAAGATCTGAAGAAGAACGTCAAGCCTTGAGTTACAATATTGAAGGATTCTGTGGGTAAAATATTGAACATCGCAGGAAGCATTGGAAGACAATGGAAAGAAGACACAGAAACACTGTACCAAAAAGAACGAGTTGACAAAATGGATGGTTGTTCAACCATTTGGAGAAATACATATGATCAAGAACAAATGATCCCAAAGGAAGAAATCTAAATTAACCTGGAGGTAATTGGCAAATATAAGATTCCAGTAATAGACAGATTTCCAATAGAAAAGTTTCAACAAGCAGGTGCAGTACTCGCTGGAAGCACTGGTGTATGCCAAAAATTTTGGAAGACATCCAGGTGGCCAATTGAATGAAAGGGGTCCATATTGTACCCATTTAAAATAGGTGACCTACCAAATGTGCAAATTATAGAGCAATATCATTAATATCACATGCAAGTAAGTTTTGCTAAAGATCACCCAACAATGGTTGCTTCTGCAGTACATTGATAGGGAGCTGCCTGAAGTCCAGACTGAATTAAGAAGATATGGAACAAGGGCTATCATTGCTGATGTCAGGTAGTTCTTGGCTGAAAGCAGAGCATACCAGAAAGATGTTTACTTATGTGTTATTGACTATGCCAAAGCATTAGACTATGTGAGTCATAGGAAACTATGGATAGATTTGAGAAAGATGGGAATTCCAGAACTCTTGATGGTGCTCCTGTGGAACTGGTACAGAGATCAAGAGGCAGTTGTGTGAACAGAACAAGAACATTCTGAACGGTAAAAATCAGGAAGTGCGTGCATCAAGGTTGTGTGCGCTCACAGTATGTATTCAATGCTCAGCACATAGTAAGAGAAGCTGGAAATTTTGAAGAAGAATGCGGTATCAGGATTTGAGGAAGGCACACTAACAACCTGCAGTATGCAGATGACACAACTGCTGAAAGCGAGGAGGTTTGAAGAACTCGCTGTTGAAGATCAACTTTGTAGCTTTCATTAAGTATTAGAACTCAGTATAATGAAGACCAAGTTCCTCACAACTGGACTGGTAGGTAACATCATGATAAATAGAGAAAAGATGGAAGTTGTCAAGGATTTCAGCTTGCCTCAATCCACAAACAATGCTCGTGGACGCAGCAGACAAGGACTCAAAGGGCACATCGTTTTGGGTAAAGCTGCTGCACCAGACCTCTTACAGTGTTGCAGACAAGGATGTCGCTTTGAGGACTCAGGTGCACCTGACCCAAGTCCTGGAATTTTCAATCACCTACTATGTACATGGAAGTTGGATACTACATAAGGAAGACAGAAAAAGAATTGGTGCATTTGAATTATGGTGCTGGTAAAGAATATTGAACACACGCACCACAGATGGCCAAAAGAACAAAGAAATGCACTTGGAGGAAGTACAGCCAGAATGCTCATTAGCAGCAGGGAGGATAAGACTCTGTCTGATGTCCTTCGGGCATGTTACCAAGGGAGACCAGTCCAGGGAAAGGACATCTTGCTGTAATGGAGAAGGGCAGAGGGAATGGAAGGCTCTGGGCAAAGTGGATTTACACAAGGCCTGCAATAACGGGCTCAAACCCAGTAATAACTGTGATGGAGGCACAGGAGCGGGTGTGTATCGTTCTGTTGAACATCATTTTCTGTGTCATCACAGACATAGCCCCACCAGCCACAATAGCTCTCAAGAGCACGTTTCAGAATTTCTTCTCTTTTATCCTCCCTCTCTCTTGCCCTTTGAAAAGAGCATTTTCTCTCTTCATGTATGATGTGTTTGATTTCACCCCAAACTTACCTGTTGGTCTTCATTCATAGTGTTGAATGTGTCTAATCATTTGTGAGCTAGTCTGTGAGTTCTTAAAGGATATACACAAATCATACTTTAATGATTGTAGATTTGTTTTCAAATTCTCTAGCTTCAATTACAGCTTACATATGAGGAGTTGATCGTTTGTTCCCCATTTAGCCTCTAGCCTTGTTCTCATTGAGACATTTAATTCCTCCATTAACTGCCCCAAAGCTGCACATGGTCTCAATGACTGAGCTTTTATAGATGTCTATTGCCAACCCTTTTTCTGAAGCACCTCCTACACCCTCATCTAAGGCAGCCTAGTATCCACCCCATCCAGTCATTCTGTGAGAGATGGGGAAGGAGTGGATAAAGGATTGGAACTCCAGGCTTGTGTGAGAGAGGACAGGATCCCTGGAAGCTGCATAACTTCCCTCGAGAAGAAGCAAGACTTCTGGGAAATGTCCTGAGGAATTCGTAGTATCAAAGCAACCTTTGAAGAAAATGTCTGAAAGAGGACAAGGCAGAGGAGAAAGGCCTGCTGACTGTGAGGTCATTTCAGAAGAAGCAGAGTCACAGCAGGAGACCTGGAGACAAGGAGGGGAAGCTACCTCTGTGAAGCTCACGCTCAGGTGAGCCTTCCTTCCTCTGGTGCCTGAGGGAGGCCACACTCACCTGTGACTCCCAGCAGCAGAGGCAGCAGCAAGGAAGAGAGAGGCAGGCAGGACTGGGGAGCTGGGATGAGCATGATGGAGGCCCTTGGAGCTTGCTTGGTGACCATGTTGTGGATCCTGGAGTCTGCTGCTTGGAGAGAGTTACAGTCTTCTCTTGTGATGTCGGAGGGAGTGTCTGTGATGGGAGGAGAGGGCTGTGGCAATCAGGAAGTTCCTGCTTCTAGATTGTGAAACAGAATTCAGGCAAAATGTAATGGGTTACACAGATAAGCGTCCCATGTTACAAAGATATGGGAGAGGTCTTGTCCACCTCTATGAGTGCCCAGGCTTGCTTGGTGACCATGTTGTGGATCCTGGAGTCTGCTGCGTGGAGAGAGTACAGTCTTCTCTCGTGATGTCAGAGGGAGTGTCTGTGATGGGAGGAGAGGGCTGTGGGAATGTGGGAGTTCCTTTTTTTGTGATTGTGAAATAGAACTCATGCAAAGTGCAAGAGGTTATGGAAATAAGGGTCTCACATTACAAAGATATGGGACAAGACTTGGCCAACTCTATGTGTGCCTCTGCTGGTTCTTCTTGGGCATATGGGGTGTCTTAGGGATGCTGGTGGTGCTTCGTCCCACAAGAGCCCTGGGACATGTGTGGGGTGAGGGGCATTTCCCCGACAATCTTGTGATGCTGGATGCTCTTTTTGGTCTCGTGTATTAGCCCACCATCTGGGTTCAGATGAGCTACATGCTTGGAGTGCAGAGGTTGGAATGTTGCAAGCCAACACTGCATGTTCTGGGCGTTGTAGAGATCCAGGTTCCAGACTGGCGCCTTTTCAGTGCTTGGTAAGAGGAACCCACATCATTGTCTATTTAAGACTCCTGGGTTTGCCCAGTCCTTGCCCAGATTAGGGGGAGCTCCGTCATCTGTTTCTTGCAGGGGAAGTATCTTTGATTGTGCAAGCAGTGAAGCCCTGGTGAGAGATGTGGTTTCCATCTTTGAGGAGGAGGAAGCCTGCTGTTTGGGGACTGGAGGAGGTCTTTGAGGGAGAGCAGGAAACCCAGAAACACAGCCAGGAGGAGGGACCCCAGCTCTGGGATATAGATAGTGGTAAATAGGCACACACCAAGAAGGTGCTTACTTCCCCTCTTCTGAATGATCATGTGCAGCCCACACCATGGTGACTGTACCTCTCAACCATTAGCACTTCCTTTTTCTGGGGCTAACATTACTTCAGGCATTTCTCTCTGACTTTGTTTTTGTACTCCTCCAGCCCTGTCTCCTCCCTTCGGACTAACTGGATGTTTGTGATGAGGGTGGATAAGCCAAAGGCGACACCCTAGACAAGTTTTCCTCTTCCAGTTGAGAATCTGTTATTCTAGCTTTTATTATTGTCCTTATTCTGAGAGACGTTCCATGCAGTGATCTTGACAAGAAGCTGACCAGAGTCTTCCCTGTAGCATCCATCATTCGAACCCAAGACCCTCTTTGGAAAGATGGAAGAGTATGTTCCAGGGATATTCCCTCCCCCACCTCCATGTGCTGTGGCCCTCCTTTCATGCAGGGGTGTTGGATGATCCCTCCTCCTGAACCTGGGCAACCTGCGACTAAAAGTCAAGTGATGCTCTGTGAATTCCTAGGCTACATCCCACAAATTCTCTTGAGTTGCATCTTGTTATTTTGGAATTCCCATTTTTGGAATCCAGCCACAGCCCTATGAGGAAGCCCTAGGTTGTCCCTCAGAGAGGCTACAAAGCAAGGGCACACATTGCACTTCTATCCCACAGGTCAGCTATAGTGCCAGCTCCTAGCCCAGAGCCATCACCACATAAGTAGAGAAGCTTCCAGATGATTCTAGTCAAATCCACCAGCTGCATCTACCCAGCTCAGGTCCCCGAGCACACACAGAAGTGATATACCATTCTTGTTTGGCTCTGTGTTCATTCCTGAGCCGCACTATCAGTGATCATAATAAACACGTGTGTTTGGGCTCCTGTACAGATCCAGAAAGCAAACATACTTGGCGCAATTGGTGGTTGAACTATAGCAATAGTCTGCTTTGTGTGTCCCCTGGTGTTGCAGTCCATCTGCACCCACGCAGCGGAACCTGGAATTGATTCAGAGCAATTACCTGCTGGTATATGGCAGTGTGAGGTTTCTCCAGTGGGTAATCCCTCTGTTCTTGGCTTTGCATGAGAAAGATTCCATGCTGAAGCCTGGTTTGTAAGCCAAGTGGGTTATTATGAATGCCAGGAGAAGTTTCAGGTTTTACCGTCTCACAGGAGTACATGCTATTTCAGGGGAGCATGCCAAACCACCTGGAAGCTGCGTTGGGGTTCACCCCCGGTCATGAGCAGCCTCATGGAACAGTGAACTGAAGCCACACATGGTGAACTGAAGCCACAGAGAGTGTGGAGTGGCCCGATCACAGCACGGGAGTGGCCTAAAAAGAGAACAGCTCTGCCACCCCAGGGCATTTCAACCCTCTCGCTGGGGAGTCGTGATAGAAGATATCGCGTGACGCCATTGGTTGAATCAAGTCCACCTGGGCCTAGTTTGGGCACCCAGGTGTAACATCCACCTGGCTTGGGGCTTGAATTGGAGTATTTTCAGTTAAAGTTTCCTCATAGGTGTTTAATGCTTGCCTGATTCCTTCCCAAGCTCCTTCATGGGGGCCTGTGTAGGCATGGGAGGGACATCGCCTCTGTCCCTGTCTCTTAGTTCCCCAACAGTAGGAGCAATTAGAGTAAATCTATACATAAAATCAACCGATGGATGAATGCTACTAGGAACTGGGAGCTAAAGGGAGAACGAGAAACACTGCAACACTAACTGTGCACTGGATGCAGCCCGCTCCGTACGTGATTCTGACTTGCATCCAGTCACGAAGTTGACTTCTCACCCCTGGGGGGTGGGGGACCTTGAATGACATTGTAGCTTAGAAACAGTAACTTTTCAATTCCTCAAATGATAGTGTATAAATATCTCCACTGTAAATAAGTTTTGGACAACTGTAAGACATGGATCAATGAAAGAGGCCCACTTAAAATGATAGAGATATTTTAATTCTGGAATGCTTAGAGCAGCATGGTTCTTTTTAGTGGAGTTCTCATTACCATATAACACACTCCTACAGCTCAGTCATACCAAGAAGGGCTGTGCATCATCGGTACAATCAAGTTTCAACCTTTGCCTCCTCGCTGTGCCCATCGATGTGGACTCCCCATGTCCTCCACCCTGCCTGTGTGTGCCAAGGCAAACATCCATCCAACTACCATTTCCTATTTCAAGCCCTCCCAGTTCCTGCACAAAGATAAATACGCACAACAGGGACAAACAGCAGAGGCCTAACTGCAATGACCACTTAAAACAGAGAAGGACCTCAATCTAGGAGAGCCTACACTGTTAACCATTCAGAGTAACTTCACGTTAGATCCACAGAGAGATCAAAAGTCAAGGTGTTGCATTACTAAACACTGCTGCTGAAATCCACTTCAGGTTCTCTCTGTCTCATAGTTGCGCTGTTTGCCTGCCTAGCTTATGTGCATTGGGGATTCACTGGGGACCCAGTCCATGTAGGGACTCTGCCAATGAATTTTGGGCTTCACCTATGATCCCTAGCTTTCCCTCAACCAGGTATTGAAGATTTGAATACAGGCACCATTCTCTTCTCCAGGTTTGCATCTTATTCTTGGCCACTTTTGGGTCACATAGGCTAGAGTTTCTTCCGTGTGGACTTAGTTGACACCTCACTTAGATGGCTGCTTGGCTTGAGGCAAGCCTTTAAGACCCCAGGCACTATTTTTCATGACAGCCAGGTATCTTCTGTTTATTCGCCACACCTTGCCATGGCATCCATGTCTTTAGTGGTCTTCTCCTGAGAGCCAGTATCCAATAGGGCCACATCATAAAATCTACTCATTCTTATATTAGTTATGATCAAAGTGAGAGCCCAAAATCCATTCATATAACGATTATTTCCCCAAGTCTCTGGTTCAATTTTAGAGACAGTATTGTCATTTTATTTTTGTTTGTTTGTTAGGTGCCCTTGTGTGGGTCCTGACCCATAGCGCCCCCATGTACAATAGATGGAAACCCAGCTGGTCCAGGGCCATCTCACAATGGTTTCCATGCTGGAGCCCATCCTCACAGCCACTGTGTCCATCCATCACACTGAGGTCCTTCCTCCCTTTCACTGCCCCTTTACTTTACCAAGCATGATGTTCTTCTCCACGTCTCCCTTGACTGGGCTGTCTTGACAATATGTCCTAACTATGTTAGACCAAGTCATGCCATCCTGCTGCTAGGGATTGCTCTGGCCATCCATCTTCTAACACAGATTGGTTGTCCTTTTAGCAGTCCATGTACATTATAAATCATCCCCATCATGTTTAAAGCAAGCCTATTGATAGTAGCATTATTTTTTCAAAGAAATCAAGTTTATTTGAAAGACTATTTTACTCTGCATGTATCTTCTAAGGACTATATACTAACCATTGTTCCAATACCAACATTTCTAACAGCAAATTATACAACTGCTCTAGTGTATAAATAAGGGGTGTCATTGGACCTCCACTCAAGTACTCCCTCAATGCAAGAACACTTTGTTCTATTAAATTGGCATTCCATGATGCACATTTTCCTGACATGATCACTGAAGACAAATGTGTGCATAAGCAAATGTGGTGAAGAAAGCTGATGGTGCCTGGCTATCAAAAGATATAGCATCTGGGGTCTTAAAGGCTTGAAGATAATCAAGCGGCCATCTAGCTCAGAAGCAACAAAGCCCACATGGAAGAAACACACCAACCTGGGTGACCACAAGGTGTCCAAGGGTTGAGGTATCAGGCTTCAAAGAACAAAAAATCATATCATTGTAAATGAGGGTGAGTGCAGAGTGGACATCCAAAGCCCATCTGTGGGCAACTGGACATCCCCTTCCAAAAAGTTCATGGGGAGGAGATAAGCCAGTCAGGGTACATCAACAAGGAAACATACAACTTTCCTTTAGTTCTTAAATGCTTCCTCTCCCCCACTATCATGATCCCAATTCTACCTTACAAATCTGGCTAGACAAGAGGATGTACATTGGTACAGATAGGAACTGGAAACACAGGGAATCCAGGTCAGATGACCCCTTCAGGACCAGTAGTGAGAGGGGTGATACCTGGAGGGTGGAGGGAAGGTGGGGTAGAAAGGGGGAACCAATTACAAGGATCTACATATAACCTCCTCCCTGGGGGATGGACAACGAGAAGTGGGTGAAGGGAGACATCGGACAGTGTAAGATATGACAAAACAATAATTTATACATTATCAAAGGTGAATGAGGGAGGGGGAAGTGGGGAGTGAGGGGGATAAATGAGGAGCTGATATCAGGGGCTCAAGTGGAAAGAAAATGTTTTGAAAATGATCATGGCAGCAAATGTACAAATGTGCTTGACACAATGGATGGATGTATGGATTATGATAAGAATTGTATGAGACACCAATAAAATGATTAATAAAAAAATAAATAAGAGGTGCCCTTAACTGATTAAGGGCATATTTCAATCTCAATAAGTTTCACACACACACATCACATTTTAAGTTGTTAAGGTTTAACAGGTATAGATATATTTTGAATACAACATGTTAGGTATGAGTCCACAGATTTTTCATCTCTAACAAAAACTTAATTTGTAGGGTTAAAAATTAAATTCTTAAAAGAAAAATGACCAAATAAGGATTTTCATCTATAGCTTCAAACTGTCTACACTGAACTACCCGGACAGCTCCATGCCACCCCAGACAACCCTGACATGACTGAGCTACTTGACGTTACACCTACAGCAAACAAACACATTAAAAAAGAAAGTATATGATAAACACACAAGTCTCTTAATCCAATGCATAACACAAAAGACATTTTAAAAAGATCAATTTCTGGCCTCATTTGATTAGCTACAGGTTCATTTTCTATAAAAGCAGACAAATGGTTTGCCAAGGTTCACACCAGGTTTCTCTGTTAGGGTGAACAACTACTCAACAAGTCCATCTTTAAGAGAAACAGTAATGGGCAGAAAGCAACAAGACAATCCACAAAAGGTAGATGTTAAGTAAACCAAAGATGTTTGTAAAAGGGTTCTTTAAAAAGAGAAAGAGATTTTCTAAAAAGTCTCTACTGTCACCATTCAATTTATCAATAGCCTCTTTGGCTGTAAGAATGAGACCTTGATGGTGACCAGCATCGGCTATAGTAAGGAGAAGGTGGCCTTCTACAGTGGTAATCAGAGTCTTCCTGTCTGTCTCCCACATAAGACTCCACTGTCTGCTTCCTTGTCCTTGGACCCACAAGTCCATGTGGGTTGAAGGACTTCCAGTGTATTAACTGTTCCACGAAAGTGAGTTGAACTGAGCCCTCTGTACTGCTGTGTGGACTAATTAGCTGTTATATTTCTTATCGCTTTATAAACCTATGCTCATATATATAATATATATGCTTATAGATATATGATATATACATATATACACACACACACACACACACACACACATATATATATATACACACACATACATCCTGGTTTTGTTTCTCTACAAAACCCTGCCTCACACATTTGTAATCACAGTAAGAATCTCTAGGTCTGCTGCCACCTCCTCCTCCACCCCCACCTCTGTGAGTTGTCTGCCCAGGGAGATGCCTGGTGCAGGTGTGTGTGCTCTCTGGGTGATAGAATAACCCACATGAATTATACTGCTATCTGGCTCCATTCCATGTGTCCTTTCCGTAGCCTTCTTTGAGCCTCTATTCCTTCACAGTAAACCAAAGCAAATCCTCGAGACTGTCCAGTTCGCTCATCACAAACCACGTTCCCACTACTCAATGGTCCATATCTAGAGACTACGTCATGAGGATCTCTCTCTGTTTTGCACAAACTGAGGTCAAATACTCCAAGATACGTAATGGGATGCGGACTTGCTCTGCTCCCCCTATGTCTTCTCCAGTTTCATATTGGAGAGTGACTTCGACCTGGCTTCCATTGGCGTTGGCACGCAGGTGCTCTGGTGTGTATGATATACTTTGAGATCATCTCCAAGGAGAATGGGAGCGGGACCTGGATCGAGTGTAGTGTTCATGAGAATGCCTCCTAGATCTTGCCCTGGACTTTGACCTTGATCGAGAATGGATCCTAAGTCTTTGGAAACTCGTGACAGACTATGAGAGCCTGACCTGTTCTCATGTTACAGGAGCAGGAGTTCCCGTTGGAGATTTTGACTGAGAGTGAGACCCTGGGCCCTGGAGGTTGTCTCCTCTACATCACGCGTGCCTGCCGCGTGTTCTCCAGAGCGACATGTGAGACAAGCCTCAGCTTTAGGGCCATTGACCTAATCACCCCACTGACTGGGCCATGGGGAGGGGGAAGGAGTCAGGAACAAAGGTCAGTCCGCTGCACTCCCAGAGGGTTGCATTCTTGTAGCCAATGGTGAAGCACTATTGAGTAAAGAGGGTCATACACGTGCAGGGCTTACCAGACCCCATTACGTGAATAGTTAACTTGTACACCACCACGATGTGGGTGAGTGCATACTAGTTACACACGCTGTGAATGTTGGAGATAGTGGCACTGCTTTCAGTAAGTCTCACTAATGAGGGCAGAACCACTCCTGGTAGACTGACACTTGTCACACGAAGGCAGACAGAATGTGTAACAAAGCAAATACAGATTGGTCCTGGTGGCCATTTTGGGGGCACCCTCAAAGCAATAGGTCAGAACCAGCCAAATCCAAAGACCACCCATTCCTTAACCAGGGGATATCAACCATCTGCTTCACCTTCAAGTAGGGCATTTCAGCTTAGAGTTCAAGGGGATATTGCCATTCCTTGCTTCTCTTATGAGTTTAAGATAAAGTCCATTTTGCTTAGACTCCATCTGGCATGTTCTGTGAAGGGCATTGTTTACTCCAGAGTTACAGATTAAATACATATATATATATATATATATATATATATATATATATATATGGAAAGAAGAAGAAAGTAAAAATTTTATATAGGGATAAATCTATATGTACATAAATTATAAAGATAGGTGCATTTGTGTATGTATGCATATACACGTAAATACAACAAGGAAGCAGATGGACTTTGGGCCTCTCCTTAAATCTTACCTCAGTACAAGAACGGTTTGTTCTAATAATGTGGCACTGTATGACACCCACCTTCCCCATATGATCACTGTAGACAAAATGGGTGCATAAGCAAAAGTGGTAAAGAAAGCTGATTGGGCAAAGCTGTGAAAAGATATAGTGTCTGGGGTCTCAAAGGCGGTCACCTAGCAGGGAAGCAACCAAACCCACATGGAAGAAGCTCACAGCCTGCGTGATCTTGAGGTGTAGATGGGAATAGGTATCAGAAGTTCAAAATCAAGCAACCAAATTGACGTGAAGGAGTGTGGACAAAGTAGAGACCCAGACCCACCTGTAAGATAATTGGACAGTCCCTCACAGAAGGGCCACACAGAAGGGATGATAAACCCAGGGTGTGGTATGAGCACTGATGAAACACATAATCGTCTTCGAGTTCTTTAATATTTCCTCCCCTTACCATTATGGCCTTTGTTTTACCTCATTAATCTTTTTAGACCTGTGTATGTTCATTTGTATAATTAAGATAGTTTGATGCATGAAAGCCAAGATAGATAAGTCTTCAGAAAGAAGTGTAATGGGAGTAATGCTTCCCTGAGGGTAAGGGAAGAGGCGTGGAGAACAGGGAAGGGGGACCTGATAAAAATAACACACCTTCAGGTATATGGATTCATTAGATGGTATAAGATACGGCCCCCAAATATATAAAATAACAATAATAATAATATATAATAATAAAGGTTCTAGGGACTTGGGTGGGAATGGGAGGAGATAAAGGGGAGCTGTTATCAGAATTCAAGAAGAAAGAAAATGCTTTGAAACTGATAGTAGTAGCAATTGTACAGTTATGGTTGATCTAATTGAATTATGGACTGTTATAATACGTGTAAGAGTTCCCAATAAAATGACTAAAAATAAATAAATAAATAAATAAAACTTTACAGCAACAAACATATTTATTGATATAAAATTCAGGCATCATACACTCCATAGTTAAGTCACTTTTTAAAAAGAGTTGTATGTCAATCATCACAATGAGTTCTAGCGCTCCCACCTCCTCTCACATTCATGATTTGGTCCTCAATTCCCCTCCCCCCCCTTGTCCCAGATTAATCATTGCGTCAGTTATTGTCTGTCTGCGTCCACACTTTCTGTGCTTCATAAGCTGGGAAACCTAATAGACACAATACAGACAATCAAACAAAATGAAGCAGAAAGGAAAAAATAATATAATGATAATATTTTTTTAAAAGTGAAAAAGAAAAGACCACCTGCAAGCAAATAAAAATAAATTCTAGAGAAGAAATTTCTGGGTAGGAAAAGCAAGGGTTCCATCTGGCGTTCTGTCTCAGGTGCGTTCATCAGAGGAGGAAGGAGGAGCTGTGGAGACACATCCATAGGTAACTATCTGCTCAGTGTCCAGAAGTGCTTCCGGAATGCTGGAGGGCACAGGATTCCCCTGGACCGCACTGCTTCCACCCTCCTCTTTCTCCCTGAGTCCTGAGCCCCGTCTGGGGTTCTGTCCTCTCAGTCATGTGCAGGATCAATAGGACAGTCCTCAGAGAAACCAGTCCTTGGGTTCTCTGCATTGATCTAACAGGTGAATTACTCCTGTTCCCATCAAGTAGGAGTATTCAAATAATCTGAGGATGGTCTCCACAGTCATTGACGTGAATTTGACCCCAACTCATTCCCCTCCTCCCTTTCCTCCATGCAACCTCTGGGATCCTAAGAGTGTTCTTGGAATAGCCTTGGTACTATAACCTCCCTGCGTCCTGAGAGACGATAATCTCTTAGAGGATCTTTGTAAGGGAGGTATGTAAACTCTCTTAACTGATAGTGGGTGCTGACACTGTGTGACACATGGGACATCCTAGGCTGCTCATCCCTGCTGACCTTGCCCTTCTGGGCACAGCAATTAGCCCTCCCTCCTTCCCTGAAGACTGAGCTTCTTCCCCACTACTTACTGTCAGGCGCGCATCTTCCTGTAGACGTAGGTGACAGATACAGCAACCACCAGCAGTGCCTTGAAGCCCAGCAGGAAAGCTTCAAGGAGGCAAAATGGATTCCTCAGGTCTGAGAATGAAAGTGAACAGTTAGGAGGAGGCATTAGTGGAGGTGCACTGGGTCCAATTCCAGCCTCCCCCTTCTCGGATACTCCCTGTGCCCCTTGCTGTCCTGAATCCTCTGAACCACACTTGTGCCTGTTCTCATTCCCAGTTGTTTCCCAGAAGGACAGTCCTTCTTGATGGAAGGATGGGAATTGTATGCTATCAGTGGCATGTAAGTGAGTTTACTTTCTTTATTCTCAGGACAGTGTAGTTAATTATTATCCTCCATCTGCTGAGGAAACAGATGTTACCAGTTTAGGGAGAGTCACAGGATTAGTGAGATTCAATTCAAGGGATATCCATCACTGACACCCTTTAGGAGGACCCCCTTGCCCATGTGTTTAGATCCAATACAAGTCCAACCTCAGCGAGAGTGGAATGAATGTCAGCATTGTAGTTCAGGGAGCCAAGACAGCATCCACTGAGAATTTCAAAGCTTTGGGTTCAAGTTCTGAGGTAACTGTCAAGGTCACCAAGCCAATGCAATCTCGTGGCAGGAAGAATGCTAGTATGTGAAGAACACAGAATTGCATGCTGGAATGATTCTCAAAGTTGATGTCATCATCTGTCTTCAGAGCAGATGCCCTCTGACATCCTTGCACTTGGCCCTGAGTTAGACTTTGGGATACACACTTTCTCTTGTCGCTCCTAGGGTTTCGGAGGCCACATCCCGGGTGAGGCGCTCAGACACGTTTCTCTGTTTTAGAGGTGGCAGTGCTCAAGGTCACACCTCCCTCTCTTGACAAATCATCTAATAACTGGTTGAGTCACAGTGTCCAGGCTAAGTCCCACCACCTACATTCCAGAAGGCACTCACAGAGCACCCTAGCTCTATAGTCCTCCGGGGAGTGCTTGAGCCTCTGTTGTTCAGCGGCAATGGCGAGTCCATTGCTGTTCAGTGTCCTTTGTCCACCTCCTTCCTTAGCCCTTCATGTGTGCTGATCGTGAGGCCACCTCCCCCAAAGCTGCCTGCACACGTATGTGCATTTTGTAGTCCGTTTCCCAGGGAAACCGATCTATTAGAGTTGGTCGGGAGGTGGTTGGAAAGCAGCCCCTAAAGGGAACATTTGGATCTGGATCCTTCATGCTGTGGTTGATTTGAGTCCCCCTCAAAGTCTATCTTGAAGTCCAAGTCCCCCACCCCAGTGCTGCTGAATGTGATTTTATTTAAAGATGGAGTATTTGCACATGTATTGCCTGTCAAATGAGGTCATACTGGATGAGTTAGTTAATTGTGCCAGCCTGGCCGATAATCACATGTGGTGCTGGTTGAAAGGCGGAGGGATAAATGGGTGGTGAAGCCTCGCCTTTCTAGTTCTCGGGTCTCTTGTTTTGTGATGGTTGTATCGGGTGCAGCTGCCTTAGCAGTTCCCTGCTTCAGCTTGCAAGATGGACTTCCTACAAGATATCCCCAAGGAGAAGCCGCATGGATCTATCCTGATGCAGCCCTGGGTGCTGGAGCAGCCGTGTGGAGACCCCTGCTAGTGCTGAGATGCTTGTTCGTTCACTGACTCAGCTTTCCTCCTGCAGTTGGCATCATTGCCTCTGTTTTGTGAGGTGAAGGACTTTGTGGACCGGTGTTGGGTAAATGGGTTAATGTTGGACTTGTGGGTTTGGGCAGCATTGGGTTGGGATGTTTTCGTGATGCACTTTCTTTACATAAAACTCTCTTATACGTGAGTCGCCGTGGATTTGTTTCTCCAAAGTACCCAGACTAGTACACTGGATTTCTAGCAACTGACTCATCCAATAACAATGATCCCATAAGGATAAAGAGATTCATACTTAGAGAGAAGACTAGGTGAAGAATGAGGCTGATCTGCCGTCACAGTCCTAGGTCCACTAAGAATTAGTAACAATCACTAGAAGCCAAGAAGAAGCAAGGAAGGATTCTTCCCTAAAACCCACCCACCAAGTTGACTTCAGAATTCTAGTCTCTAGAACTGTGAGAGATGTCATGTGTTGCTCTGGGCCATGCAGTTTATGGTTCTGTGTTAGTGCAGCCCTAGGAGACCAGTGCAAGCCACTACTCGGCTGGCAATGAAGACTAAACTCAGGAGGGGAGAGAAGCCTGGGGTGGGCCACTCTTATTACACTTTTCACCAATAGTTAACTAGGATGATGTATTTCAGAAAATTGAAACATCATAAACATCAGGCATTTGAAGTATACATGGGGAGTAGTCATTTTAAGGACTTTGGAATTGGAAAAGTTGGGCAAGTGATGGACTTCTAGCTGCAAGGTTGACAGTTCAAACACCTCAGTTGCTCCATGGGAGAAAGATGAGGATATCTGATCACATGAAATTTACAACATCAAGAACATTTACAACCTTATGTAGGGTATGTGTGGCATGGAATGGCTTCTCCTGGGAAATCAAGTCTTTAGAAAAGGACAGTGTAAAGCTACGAGTGATTATTCATCATGTAAAGGTTAAGCATGGAAGGTAAAGCAAGCTAGTAGATTTCTCTCTCTTTCTCTCAAACTTTATTAAAAAATCATCCCCTCAGTGATCATAAGGTGTACAGTTAATGCTCTGTGCCAATTATTATTAGACTTGCTCATTATCTTTGAGAAAATCCATTTCCTGGCACCCCAAATGTAAGCACTATTTTGAAAATATACCTAATTCCCAATACTTGCAACATGTTACAAGCACTCTTTCCCATCGTGCTTGAAATCTGGACTGACATGGTTCATCTACATTGCTGTTGTTGTTAGGTTTTACGAAGCCAGTCCCAGCCCATATAGACCTTATGCACAAAAGAACACTGCCCTATCATGCGCCATCTTCATAGTTACCCCTGCGCCTAAGCCCATGGTCGCAGCCGCTGTGTCAGTCCATCTCCTTGAGGGCCTTCCTCCCTTTGCTGCCCCTGCCCTTGACCAAGCCTGCTGTCCGTCTCCAGCGACTGCTCTCTCCTGACATATGTCCACAGTGTGCTGGCCGAACGCCGGCCATCTCTGCCTCTCTGGAGCACTCTGGCCTTACTGCTTCTGAGACAGTTGGGTTCGTGCTGGTAGCTGTCCAGGGTACTTTCAGGATTCTCTGCCAGCCCCCACTGCAAATGCGTGAATTCCTCTTCAGTGCTTCTTAGTCACTGTGCAGGCTCACAGGCCTGTGCTTCCATGGTGGATGTATAAAGCCCACCCCACCCCGAGGGGACGGGTAACAGAAACATGGGGGAAGGCATACATCAGTCGGTGTAAGATATGAAAACAACAACAATATACAATTTATCAAGGGTTCCCGAGGGCCGGAGGGTTGGTAAGGGAGGGAAAAAAGAGGAGCTGATTATTAGGACTCAAGTAGAAAGATGTTTTGAAAATGATGATGGGGACATGCCTATCGGTTTGCTGGATATAATTGATTTATGGATTGTTTCAATATTGCAAGAGCCCCCAGTTAGATGATTAAAAAAAAAGAATGTACCATGGCTTGGGCCTGGGCCACCTCTGACCCCAAAGTGCCACCCTTGTTTTTCAGTCCCCTAGAGAGGTCTTGTGCAGCCCGTTTTCTCCTTGCAGCTTCCATGAGCACCGATTGTGGATCCAAGCAAGACAAAATTCTGGACACCTTCCACTTCGTCTGCATTTCAGTCCAGCTGTGAGGAGTTGGGTCGTCTTCACATTGAGTATAATCCACACTGAAGGCCGCACTCCTTGCTCTTCAGCAGCAAGTGCTCCATGTCCTCCTCCCTTTCAGTAAGCAGGTTGTTAATAAGAATTCTTTCAATCCTGGTGCCACATATTTCCTCATATAACTCATCTTCTTTTATTCTTTCCTTAGCATGTATTTGCTCTTAGTATGGTGAGAGGATACATACTAATCTACTAAGACAAAACAAAACAAAAAACCTCATTCCCACTGAATCAATTCAGACTCAGAATGACCCTGGAGGGCAGTGTAGTACTGCCTCTTGGTTCAGAATAGTTAGCTACTACTCATTTCTAACATCATTCAAAAATTAGCTCTTTGGCCTTTTGTTCTTTGAAAACGAGATTGTCTATATTGGTGGGATGAGATACCTGTTTACTTATTTAAAAATCTTTCCATTTAACCACTGACCGTGCTCTAATACAGGGGTTCTCAACTTTCCTAATGCTGAGACCCTTTCATGCAGTTCTTCATGTTGTGGTGACCCCCAACCATGAAATTAATTTTGTTGCTGCTTCATATCTGTCATTTTGCTACTGTTATGAATTGGGTGACCCCTGTGAAAGGGTCATTCAACCCCCACTGGGGTCGCGACCCACAGGTTGAATACTGCTGCTCTAATAGCTGAGTCAATACTCCTGGCTTCTAGCACAGACATCTGGACCATCTCAGGGAAGAGCGCCACCGATTGCGTTCTTTTTCCTCTGACAGTGGCTTTACTGACAGCTTTCCATACAGTTGGTCAAGATAACAATAAAAAAACCAAAAACAGAACCCAGCAGACAGAATCTTGTACACTGGAAATCAACCTAACAGTAGTCCCTTATCCCTGGCCTGCGTCACGACAGAGCACTGGGATTAACTTCAGGATCTTTCATTTCCCTTTGTCCCATTGATTGTATGCGCCACCAACATCCCAACTGCAGCCCCCCACCCCCCAAGTGCACGGTGGACATGGCCCGGAGACAGCATCACAGGCTGTAAGGGGTTGAGACTGAAGTTATAAAACACAAGGAGAGATCCTGGTGGGGTGCTCCTGGACCTGGGAAGGCAGTCAGAGTTGGGTGAGAGAGCCAATGGCAGGAAGCTGGGATTAGGATGATCTCGCTCCTTCCCTCTCTCCATCTTCCTCTTCCCTCCTTTATTTGGCACGGAGTTATGTGAAAGTACCTATGGAGACATACACCAGTCTCTTATTGGAGGGTGCCCTTGGCATGTGAGAATGGGAGAAGGGAGCTCCTTCATCTTCTAGGGCGCATTCACAGGCATCTAGATTTTTCCTCGGGAGCCATGGGGTCTCAGTGGTAGAACTCTTGCCTCCAAAGTAGGAGACCCTCTTTTGATTTCTGGCCAGCGCCTTTCATGCACAGCCCCACAATCAGTTAGTGGAGGCTTAAGTGCTCCTGCAATGCAGAAAATGTTTCAGTGGGGTTTCCACACTAAGGCAGACAAGGGAGAAAGGGCGAGCAGTGTACTTCCAAAATCCAGCCATGAAAACTGGATGCATCCCAACAGTCTAATTCCTTTGTACCTGGGCTTCCACGAGCAGGGGACAAGCAGAAAGACTGCTCGGAACAACACCACATTGTCTATAGTCAACCCAAGTGGTTACCTTTTTACAAAGACAAAGTGAAGACATACTTTTAAGAAGAGTCAGGGGGTGTGGGACAGAGTAGTGGCCTCACCAGGGTTGTCCTCTGTGTTCTCCTGCCTCAGGGTCTGCTCTCTGGTGACTGCGGGCTGCCCGTCGTGCACCACCTGGCAGGTGAGCACCACGTCCTCCCTGAGGGCAGAAGTGTTCACCAGGATCCAGCTCTTCAGGGTGTAGGTCCCATCCTTATCCTCCATGAGGAGCAAGGCCGATTCGGTTCGAGACACATTTCCGTTCTCCAACCAGGCCAGGTCTATGTTCTTGGGGTAGAACTTCTTCACCTGGCAGGTGATGCTCACCTGGCTCCTTTGAATGGGAAGTTGGGTCACCTCCAAGGTGGGTGCAACTGAAACAGCACAGAGCAGAAGCTCTTACATTGTGGAACAGACAGGTCACAGACAGGGGCTCTGGACTGGTGATCTCCCACCATCCTGGCAAGGGGAGCCCTGAGGACAGTGCCAGGCATGCAGCTGGTGCTCAAACACTATACAACCTGTGTGCATCACCCATGGAATTCCTGTGCAGTGTCTGGTACACAGTAGGTGCCCAAGCACTGACAGTTATCCTAGGGCAATAATTAATGAAATTACCAAGCACACTTTCAATGCAGCCAGGATGCAATAATTATACCAACACAAATAAAACCATCAAGTACACAAGGACTTAGAATATACTTGGTATTCAACAATTTCTGTTAGGATTATTAGGATTTGGATTCCAGGCAGAACATGCCCTGGAGCAATCCTGGGGAGCAGGCTTGGGGGCAGGTGAGGGTGCGGGCGGGGTGTGTGTCATCTACCTCGGATGGTCTCAGACAAGTTGGCCATCCCACGAAGAGAGCCCTGCAAGGTAGTGTGGGCCACCTCACAGATGACCTGAGAGTGGACATCCTCTGTGGTCAGCGTCACCTGGGTCCTGCTGGAGATGTTGTAGGAGACACTGTCGCCCAGCGGGAACACCTCGGTCTGCAGGGCTGGGAGCTCTTTCCCATTTTTGAACCACTTCAGGGAGACATCTCTGGGGAAGAAGCCGTGCGACTCGCAGGTGAAGGGCACCGTCTGCCCAGGTGTGGTCCTTGCCAAGGGGCCCAATACCAGTGGAGCAGAGGGCTGGGCTACAAGAAGGAACATTTGTCAGCTGTAAACATCATTGCACGGTCACCAGGAAAGATACGCGTGTGAGATTGCTCAGACTCTTCCCACAAATGATTTTCTAATCCGGGTGATAACACTAAGTGGGAGGGGTCATTGTCCTCTCCCAGAGCAGGGACAAATTCCTGCTGCTGAATAGATCCCAGTATCTCTCTGAACCTCATGTGTTTTCTTCAGTCTTGCAATTCCACCCAAGTTCATGATAACTTCAGAAACCTCACTGTTCCCCTGAGAAGTTGGAAATGGCCCTGTCTCCGTGTGAAGGACCAAATGGAACAAGACCTGGAGCTGCAGGAGGACACGCGCCCCCTCGGGGAGACATCCCTCTGAGGAGCAGCAGGCCTGTCTCCAGCAGGCGCTCCAGAAGGTCCCTCCCTGCAGCCTGGCCGGTCAAACAGCCCTGACCTGGTGCTCAGGGGGGCAGATTGTACTGTGGACGAGTGCATGAGGGCCACTCTGTCTCCTTGAGGACTCTCCAATCTCACCCCGACTGTCTTCGAGATGGTTCTAATTCATCACAACACTGTCAGACCAGATGAGGTTCCTTGAGTTTAAACCTTAACAGGAGCAGCAGCTTCATCTGTTTCCATCAAATGAGAGGTGGGCTTGAACCTGTCACCTTGTGAGAGCTCAGTGAGCAGTACACAGGGAGCAGCTCAGGGGTAGCACACTGTCACCAGGGCCCCTTCCTTGGGTGCTAGTCCTCCATGAAGACCCTTATTCTCCTTCCAGCCCAGCCTTTGAATCACTTTACTGCAGACACATGGTGGGACTCACCCCCTTGTGTGAAGGAACTGACCAAGTTCGTCAGTCAGTGGTGGCTGGGCCTGGGATTCTAGGCCTGAATCCAAAGTCCACCTTCCTTCCTCTGCTCCAGGTGATTCTCCCACCAAGTCTGGTATGTGAACAAAGTCACTCATCCTTGCATTGACTATTAATCCTATTTACTCTTCCTAGCTGGCCTCACCCACTTTACCACCTATGGTAACCATGACAACGTGACACCCTCTCGAGGAGGTTGGAATGGCAGGGTAAAAACTCAGCGGGTACAGTCATGAATCTGCAGAGCTGGGATTTGAACTCAGGTAGTCATGATTCAACCTGAGCACCCTTAACCACTGAACTACAGACGCTCAGGAGGAACTCCATTGAGGGCTGTAACCACCCTCTCCTGGCCTCACGGATCCGAGGGCGGAAATGACCGTGGAAGTGAGGATTCCAGGGACTGTTGGATGCGCCTCTCAGACCAGCCACAGTCCTTGTGTCTGCCTGACCCCTGTGCTGCACATGTTACAGCAAGGACCTCACCCCTCTTAGCTCTCCCATGAGTCCATGGATGCCACCCCTCTGCAGATGAAGGAAAACAAGCTTCCCCGGCACAGTGACTGTGTCCCTGTGGGAATTTCCTCTGGCCCTCAGCCCTCACAGGCCACCACATGGGAATGGCCACTTTCAGGACCCTGACACTGACCCTGTGCCACCCTTGGCTTCAGTAATTATAGCCGGCCACGTCCCTTCTTGTGGTCTGTGCCCAGGCGGTTACTCTATAGCAATAAATGTGTCAGGCTGGGCTTCTGACCGACTGGAATATAAACCCCTGCTCCTCTGGGAGCCCAGCACCCTGCAGACACTGCCTCTATCAGTACGCTCAGTCTTCAGCGCTGTGCAGTGGGTGCTGGTTCTCGGTGGGGTGGCCTGGATCCCTCTCTGTCCCCTCACTGCTGCCCTTCACACCACGGGCTCCCAGGCTGCCCAGGAAGGAGCTGGTCCGGACAGTTATGGAGAAGATGGCTCAGGGATTACAAGGCTGCTGAGATGCCTCTTGTAGGGCGGGGCCACACACCCTGATCTGGGGGCAGTGTCTGTGTGGCCTGGGTTATAAAAGAGCCCTCTGCTCACTAGGGACAGTCACTTTTAGTTTTTAAAGATTATTTCTGCAAAATGGAGGCCTGCTGGCACAGTGGTTACACTAGGGCTGTTAACTACAGCACAGCAGTTCGAAACCACCAGCCTCTCTGAGGGAGAAGAGAGAGGCTGTCTTTTCCAGTAACGAGTCACAATCTCAGACACCCACAGGGGCTCTTCCACCCTGTCCTCTAGGGACACTATGAGCTAGACTCCCCTTGATGGCAGTGAGTTTGGTGTTTGGTTTTTGCTGCAAAACAGAGGACCCGAGCATTTGGAACAGAGAGGGATGGAGCATCCCCCACACCCCGACCAGCACAGGGGCTGTGGCAGAGAGCAGGGGCTGAGTAATCAAGCTGCAGGGGTTCAATTCTGAGCCCCCCTGGCTGTCCACAGACAGGTCCCCTCTCAGAGCCTCAGGTCCCCCTGTGAGAGGGGCAGTGAAGGGCCCTCCCTCTCAGAGCTGGTTAAGAGGTGAAGCCATCAGGGGACCTGGGGGAGTCCTCTCGTTACCCCTCCCCCTGGCTGTGACTGGAGGACAGCAGGCAGAGAGGGAGGGCATCCACGCGGAGAGAGCCGCTGTGGGTCAGGCTGAGACACCGGCTGCAGTGCCGGCTCCCACTGAGAAGGGCCGCCCTGTGGGACCTCAGCCCTGGGCCCGCAACGTCTGTGGGATCAGGACGCAGCTCCCTTTCTCCCGCCCCGCCCACGTCCAGGGCTGTGGGAAACTCTGCCGCGGTGTCTGGATGGTGTCTGTACCCTCTCCAACCAAGGATACCCCTGGTGAGATGGACAGAGCAGCAGGTCACCCTGGCCGCTCTCGGTGAGGGTCCCGAGATTGCGGACAGCCTGGGTTTTCCTCAGCAGGAGCCCAGCGAGTAAGTGAGGTCCTTTCCACACCATGGGGCGTCCTGTAGTTGTTATGAACAGAGCACACGTGCTGTCCACACAGAAAAGGTGGGCACAGTGTGGTCTGGGTGCAGTTGGACATGGTTTTCCAATCACCAGAGTCTCCAGGGTCTGAGGGGAAGGGCCCTTCTCATCCTTGGGGAGTTGATGGAAAGGGGCAACGGTGGTTCCTGCTCAGTGGGTCGGTGCCAAGAGCTCTTATTCAGCACTGAGTGTTCGGCTCTGCCATGGGCAGTGCATCGAACGCCAGCGCAGTCAGCATGCGGACCTCGTTCAGCTCCAGGCCCCACTGCTAACTCCCCCTAGGGCCTAGGGCACGGCCCTGTCATCTGCTGGCCTCGGGTGGGAGCTGAGGGGGAGCTGTATATGCTGTGGTCTAACGGCCTGATGTTCCAGGACCCAGGAGTTGGGAAGAGGGCAGAAAACCCAAACGGAGTCTCAGCTGGACAACAACTCACTCCCCCCATGGGATTATCTGTGGGGTGAGGGACACGTGACCTAAGCAAGTCTAACCCCTGGTCCTCTGTGCTTAATGGGGGTCTCTGTCTTGCATCTCAGGGAGTTTCCCAACAGGGCCCATCCCCAGGCCAGCCCTCTCCGATTGTCCCGGGACCAGCCTCTCCAATCCATCAGGGGGTCTCTGCCTTTCAGACCTGGTTCTGAGGTAAAGCCAGCCCTCCGTGTGATGTTTCTGATTCTGAAATAAAGACGGCCCCCCCGCCCCTCTGCTCCTTGGAGGGGAGAGAAGAGAAGCTCCGTGAGGGGAGAGCTTCCCCACGTTGTCCTCGCTGTTTCCGACACTGAGAGCAGGGCTGCACACAGTAGGGCTCAGCGCGCATCTGTCCAGTAACGCAGACAGGAGCACGGTGCAGGGAGGAGCTGGGGCAGGAGGTGGGTTTGCTGGGCCTGGAGCGCCCAGGCTGTCAGTGGCCTGCTCTGCGGGGACCAGACTGGAAAGGACCAGGCTCCGGAGCAGACTTTTCTCCTCCTGCTTCCAGCTGGGGGCCCGGAGCAAACAGCAGGACCCCGTGGCCTCAGCCCCTGGTCGGTGGAAGGGCTGAGGGGGGCCCCCCCGAATATGAACACTGTGGACCAGCACCCCTGACGGCTGTTGCTCAAACTCAGAGGCTCAGTCCTGAGCAGCTGTCACGCAGGGCGGGGTCACCCTGTACTCACCACTCACTGTCACCCGAGTCCCAGGACCAGACTTGTGCTCCTTGTCATCAGGACTTCCTTTGCTGAACTTCACACAGTAGTAGGTGCCGGCGTCGGCTGGGATGATGTTACTGATGCGGATGGAAAAGTCCAAGTTGTCTCTCTTGGTGGGGTCTGTAGCGTTTCTTACTCGGGGGAAGAGGTGTCGTTTGTCTTGGGTTCCTTTATAATCATAGATTAGCTGGCGATTTGGGAGAGTCCCCCTGAACCACTTCATGGACCCCACGGGATGCAGAGAAGAGAGCTGGCAGGGCAGAGTGACTGTCTCTCCAGCGGCGACCGACACCGTCTCAGGTTGGATCACCTGCAGCTCCTCCTGGCTTGTGACTCCTGCAGGGGACACAGGGCTGTTACTCATCCTGCGGACCTGTCTGTGAGCTCCAGCGTCGGTCAGCAACAACCCACTCTGAGCAAGCCCCACCCCGCCGTGTGCTCAGCTCCTTCCCTGGACTATCTCACGCATCCTCACCACGAGCCTACATGGTGAGCTGCCAGGCAAACAGGGAACCTGAGGCACATAGGGGGCAATGTGCAGGCAGAGAGTGGGTATGGTGTCAGCTTGTGCAGACCTGTGTCCCTTTGGGGATGACCCGTGTCTCAGCTGGGCTGTGAGTCCACATCTTGATACCAAGAGGCCAGGGTCCTGGTGTTTTCCAGAAAGGACACAGATTGTGTGTGTGTGTGTGTGTGTGTGTGTGTGTGTGTATGTGTGTGTGTGTGTGTGTGTGTGTGTGTGTTTGGGGGTGGGGTTCTGTGCTGGGGCAGGAGCTCAGGTTCTGTGTGTGGCCTGGCCCAGGAGGCAGAGCCCAGCAGGGAGTCAGGGTCAGCAGTTGGCATCTAGGCTGTGGAGCAGTGGGGAGAGGCAGGGGATCCTGTAGGTTGTAACCCCGTGCATCGCTCAGTGACTGAGTGGGTCAGAGGGGTGCTCAGGAGAAGGAGCCCTGCAAAGGGCCTTCGTCCTCCCTGCTGTGAGCCTCCCCTTCCTCTTCTGGGACATGGCCCCTCTGACCCCACCTGGACTTTCCTGGGGACTAAATACATGTGAGGCAGAGGCTGAATCAAAGGAAGAGGTTGCCTCTGGAGCCTGACTGGGAACCTGGCTGGACCCTCATTCCCATGTGAACCAGCTTCTCGGTGGGTTCTGAGTGAGGTTTCCTCCTCTAGGAGATGGGTTGATGCCCCCACCCCTGCTCTGTCCTGAAAAGGACACAGGAAAACACACAGAAGTCCCCGAGCACCTGGCTGGGCACGGGGAGGCTTCTTGTCACAATGCCAACAGTGACTGAGAGGGAGGGGCTGCTGTTAAGCTGTCACCCACCAGCCCTGCCGATGCTCCTGGAGGCCAGGCTCCAGTGAAACAGGCTGTGGGACCCAAGGGTGCTGCATTTGGTCTAGTTTTCCAGGGCTCCCTGGTCAGTGAGGAGCAGCTTGGGGCCCAGGTCACAGGTGTCTTGCAGACAGGAGACAGGGAGCTGGCAGAGGAGTGTGGGGGCTGAGGGGAGGTCTCGGGCAGGACGATGACCTCATAGGAAGATGCTGATGTGAGATGTGCAGGGACCTCTGAGACCAGCCCAGAGCCTGACTGCGAACAAAGTGGGGAGAGCGGAGGGTGGGGTGGGAAATGGAGAGAGAGAGACCACAAGGAGAGGGAGGAACTAAGTTCAAAGGAGACCCCAGAGGGAAAGAGAGAGAAGTAGAAAGAGACAGAGGTAGAGAGAGGAGAGCGCAGACGGAGACAGGAAGGCGGGTGGAGATGTAGCGGAGTTGGTGGCAGACCTGCAGCCATCGGAGTTGCTCACTGCCCCTCGATGTGACCTTGGCGAGTCCTGTCCGGAGCTGGCACCTCTGCCATGCACAGCCATCAGGACGACAGCAGATGCCCTGAGCAGCCCTCATTCTGACCTGGGCAGGAGAGAGACCTTGTGGATGTGTGTCCAGCATGTGGGCGCTGCCTTGCCCTCCTGGTGCCCGACAGAGGGTAGACCCAGGGATCCCAGTGTGTCCTCACTGGGCAATTCCTGTGGCCGAGGACAGATCTCATCCCCTGTCCCTCTTCCTGTGTCTTCTCCTCCCCAGCCTCACATGCTCCCCCTCCTCACTGGTCCTGCAGCAGCTTCTCTAGGGCTTCCCCTGAGGGCCCTCCGAACCCGCACGCCCCCAGCCACACAAGTGCTCTGAGAACATGCCTGATGAGGTTGGCTTCAGCGCCTTTGCATCTGCTGCTCCTTTTGCAAGACCTGCCGTTTCCCCGGATGTCCAGGGTGCTCCCTCAGGTTAGGTCAGGCCTCTGCTTCTCTTTGGGGCTCCAGCCCTGTCCCCCCAGGTGTCTGTTCCGTCATCCTGCTCCTTGTCCTTCCTGGCACGTGCCTCTCCGAGGGTTGGCTCTGTCTTTTGCTTCCCACTACAAAGTCACGTTCATGGTTGACCGTCAACATCCAAACCAGAGGTTCTCCACCTTCCTGATGCCGAGACCCTTTCATACAGTTCCTCATGTGGTGGGGACCCCAACCATAAAGTTATTGTCATTGCTACTTCATCACTGTCATTTTGCTACTCTTATGAGTTGGGTGACCCATGTGAAAAGGCCATTTGACCCCCAAAGGGGTCTCGACCCTCAGGTTGAGGACCGCTGATTAGAACCAGTCTTTGTATTTAGTGGTCCCTCAAGAGTATTTGAGTGAATATTTGTCATTAAAGTGACCACAATAATGAAAGCAAAGTGAGTGAAAAAGCAAATAAGCTTAACTCACACTACCGCTGTAGCTTTCGGAAGCCCCCAGGCAGAAGCCCCTTATCCTGATCTGTAAAATAGGATGAGGTCTCTCCGGATGCTGGCTGACTGTGAGGAAGAGAGGAGGACACACAGGCAGGGATGTACACTGGAGGATGATCCACCAGGTCTGCCATGGGGCTGCTGGGCGAGGGTGGTCTCTCCCTCCTATCTGTGGGGCTTAATTTCATGGATGTGTCAGGGGGCTGGAGAAGAACCTGCTCTCTCAGGCCCTGTTCAACTTCTGAGGCTTGAGCATGGCTCTGGACAGAAAGGCCTAGAGGCAGACAGTGGCCACATTGACGAGTCCCAGATGGACAAGTAAATCACACCCCCTGGGCTTCAGCTCACGTATCCAGCCCGCAAGAGTGTAAAGCCACAGTGTATTGTTGTTGGGTGCCTGTGGGTCCAGCCTGCATCCGGATGGGTCCTAAGGGACGGTTGTGTAATTAAAGGGAAGAAATTAAGAGGCAGACAAGAATTTGGGGGTGCTCAACTCCTCTATGGCATCAGGAACCAGGTCTGAGTGGGAGAGAGGGGAAAATGTATTCTTCTACCAACTTATATAGTCTTGGAGCATGCAAGCCCATTGAAGTACAGGTAACCACATTCGTAACAAAGTGCGCAGTACCCTAACCCTAGAGGTTCCTGAGTTCATTGGGGGAGTAACTAACACCAGTTGGGGCAGGAAAGGGGGAGTGACTGTCCCTTTAGCAGGGAGAGCAATAGCATCAGGTCTGCTCCTATAGCTAAAGCTGTGGGCCAGATGGCAATCAGCCATGTGCTTGCAAGAGGTAACTTTAAGGTAGCACTGATTATAGGAGGCTACTGTGGGGATGATCCCCCCTCCACCCCATGTGGGGATGATGTTTAATTATGAGAATGTTACTGGGACTCATCTGCAACTCACAAGTATGAAGGTCTCCCTCCACCCAGAATCCTGGCCTCCCAGGCTTCTTAATTATGAGAATAAAGAACTTCTCCGCATACACTCTCTTCCCAGTCCTCAGTTTCCCACAGGTGCCATCGTGTCGATTCTGACTCACAGCGACCACATGAACAAAACACACAGCTGAGCCCAGTCTGCACCAACCTCACAACGCTTGAGCCCATTGTTGCAGCCACTGGGTCTGTTCATCCTGTCTTGTTCAAGAGAGAGTCTTCCTGTTTCTCACTGCTTGTGTTAGTTCTTGTAGATTAGAGAAGCAAATCCTGGGAGATATATATATCTTTATATATGAGAGCAATTGAATACTGAGGAAACAGCCCAGTGAGACTTATATATATGTGTGTGTGTGTGTATATAGCTTTATATATGAGAGCAATTGAATACTGAGAAAACAGCCCAGTCCAGTCCAGATCAAGTCCATAAGTCCAATATAAGCCCATATGGCCAATACTAGTCCACAAATTCCTCTTTAGACTCACACAGTCATGCAATAATGCTGAATATAGGAAGATCACAGACCAGTGGGTGGAAAGTCTTGTGGATCCAGTGGTGGTAGAAGGATCTCAGTGCTGGCGTGGGTGTCCACATGGCTCCTCCAGCTCCCAGGGCTCTGGCTGCTTCAGCATAGCCCCATCAGGCTTGTCGCCAGTCATGTCTTGCAGGGATTGAATGTGTGTCCCGCCTCCAGAGAGCTATTTGTCTCCTTAGTGCCTCCAAATGAGGTCATCAAGCTGCAACCTGATTGACAGACTAAACTCCACCCCACTCACTCTGAAGAAACAAATCAACAGCAGATTATGTAACTGCCACACTGTCCAACAACTTTACCAAGCATGATGTCTTATTCCCATGGAATAATCTCTCCTGGTAACATGCCAAATTCCATGAGACAAAGACTTGCCATCCTTGCCTTGAAAGAGCAGACCGACTGTGCTTGCTTTAAGACAGATCTTTTTGTTCCATGATATTTCAATAATTTTTGCCAGCACCCTAATTCAAATGCATCAACTCTTCCACTGTCTTTCTTATTCAGTGTCCAATGTTCACATAAGCATGAGGTGATTGAGGATACTATGGCCTGGATCAAGGGCACTGTAGTCCTCAAATGGAAACCCTTGTTTGTCACCAGCCTTAAGAGGTCTCATGCAGCCTGTTTCCTCAAGTCAATGTGTCCTTGACCCTGGCACCGCTGTAAGGAGGAGCACTGATTGTGTGATGGAGCAAGATGAAATCTTGACAACTTTAATCTTTTCTTTACTTCTCATGATGTTACCTTTATATATCATGCTATTATTACCTGTTGGTCCAGCTGTGAGGAATTAGGTTTGCTTTACCTTGAGTTGTAATGCCTACTGAAGGCTTCAAGATGTGAGCTTCACCAACAAGTTCTCCCAAACCTCCTCACTCACAGCAAGCAAGGTTCTGTCATCTGCACATTGTGTTCTTCTTCATATAATCCAGCTTCTGTAATTACTTGCTCAGTAGATAGTTTGATTAAATATGGTGATACGATGCTACCTTGATACATGTTTCCTGGATTTTACACTGTGCCGTGTTCTCTCTGTTCAGTTTGCACAACTGCCTCTTGATCCCTGAACAAGTTTCACATGAGTTCAATGACATGTTCTGGAATCTACTT